CGCCTGTCACCAGCCCGGAGCAAGCGGAGCGAGAACACGGGAACCGTTCTGTGGCCAGAACTCCCTCATGGCCCTGCAGCGACGCATGGGGGCCCGGGGAGCAGTCAGCTGTGCCCGGGGAGAGGCTCATTTTTAAGAACTTTTGTGGGAAGACCTGGCAGGAGGAGCAGGAGTCGGAAAACATCTATTCCCGCCGGACTCCACCAACCGCCATCGTGTGTCCGGCCAGTCACAGCCCCTCTGGCCTCTGTTCCTCATCAGCGGGGCAGGGACCCAGCCACCGACTCACCTGCACAATGTCCAACGACAAAGCATCACTTCATTCTAATGGCCACGGTGCTCCAATGAGTCCACATCAGGAGCTTGTGCTTTTGTTCAAAATTAGCCATAACGATCGCATTGACTGGGAGGGAACTACCTCCTATTTCCCCCGCACACTCACGTCTGTCACACACACACCACGTGCGCATACTCCGGGGCAGCAGTTAAGTAAATTGGGGAGAATACAGGCAATCTGTGTCATCACGCCAGGCCTGGGTCAGTTATAAACCTGATCATCGACACGCAGGTCACTTGCTGGGGTGCGACATTTCTGTACAAAATGGCACCTGCCATTGGTCAGAGGGCCCCTGAGCCCAACAGGAGAGCCAGGCGAGAACCATCGAGAACACATACTCAGCAGCAGCGTTTACCACTGGCGGAGGTTCCCCTCGGCCCGGCGATGGCATGTGAGACGCCACCGTCACCACCGGGGTCTTGCCAGGACTGCACGGCGGTTTGGGCGCTGGGGCACCGTGTGGGCAGGCAGGTGGAGACACCTGGGCTGGCTAAGATGTCGTCAACTCCAAGGACAGACGGTGGGGAGACGAGCACAGGCTGTTGGATGTGGTTCCCAACGGAGAGAAAATAAGTGCACCAGCCTCGACGGCTGAGCCAGGCCGGGCCTGGAAGACGCCAGCAGGGCACAGCCAGGGACACCGCCTCACGTCCCAACCCCACATCCTCCAGAGAACACCCACGTGGGGCCTCGACCCCCTGCGCCCCGCCTTTCCCGCCCAGTGCCATCTCCTCCGTCTCCCGCTGAGGGCAGTGTTCTTCCCAAACACAGAGGATTAGTCCCCTCGTTTCCTCAGCGGCTCTGACAGCCACAGCCACAGGGCGTAGAGGCCCCTGGGGGGCGCCTACCTGCGGGCCGGACACCCACTCGCTGCCGCTGCCGCTGGGCTCAGCCAGAGTCCTTTCCGGAGAAGCCAGAGGTCCGATCGTTCGTCTGGAAAAAAGCACAGTAAACGCATCGTCACCCTGTGCTTCCAGACATTTGGGGACTAAACGTCTGGAAACACAGCGCGACAATCCCCACAATCACTCCCCACAATCGCAACCAAACTACAAGGTTGGTGGGCACCGCTTTGGCGGAGAGGGGAACCGGCTGCGCGGCAGCGGCACCAGGAGGCACCAGAGGACGGCTCCCCGGAGAGCACCTCGGAGGCCCAAAGAGCGGCTCCTCCTGCACAGCTGCCGTGGAGCGCTGACTTAGTCACCGCCACGGACACCTCTGATCGGTTTGGGAATGCTGGTCATTCCAGGCTCATAAACACTAATCAGACACTGACGACCAGCGAGCCCAGCGAGTGCCGGGGCCTAGAGAAGACTTCTCAGAGTAAAAGGTACCAGGAACGCCTTTTAGTCGCATTTCCCGTGACCGGGTTCCCAGACGTTAATGACTGCTCTCTGGCTGTGTGGAGCCGACACAAATCAGTACCTTTAGGGATCCAGACGGGAATTATTGACTTCGCTTTAAGCCTGAAGAGAATTCTATTTATTCAAAGGCTAGTTCAGGTGCCATGGGGTGGATGCATTTGAGACAAAGAGGCAGGAGGGCCTGGGACATTGGGATAAACACATAATTCAAAGACATGCTTCTAGTTTAGCCAGCTAGGCAGCCCGAGTTGGAACTTGCTGATTCTATTTGACCTGTAATGGCATAATCCCTTTGTGATCCGATCGTACGAGGCTCTGTGATAGCAGACACCACCATCTTTGTCCTTCACAGCGAATCCCCAACACCTGACGCCACGTGGGGCAGCATTTCCCAGGACTTTTCAGATCCCGTCATCCTCTCCTGAAGGGCAGCTCTGATCACAACACCTGCCTCCCGTTACAAAGCCCCCAAAGGCGGCCCTGGGAACCCTGCCCACAGCCCACAGCCTCCTCTCTGCCCGCCGGTGCACCCAGAGGCCCCTGCGCCCCTGCCCAGTTCTACGTTTCCCGGCCCGGAACCTGAGCATCTTCTCCCCCAGGAGCCTGCCCACCCACAAGGGCCTCCCCAACTGGCTCCACCTTCCTGAAAACTGGCAACACACGTGGAGGCGGCATCTACTCTGAACCACAGAAACGCAGTGGGGAGAGCGTGCGGTCGCAGGAAAGCTCTCCTGGAAGATGAAAGCAGAGAAAAGCACCCACGGTCTTCCCACCAAAGAGCAGAAAGCTACTGGCCCATCCAAGGCTGAGGTCACGGCCAGGTCAGGGCCAGGGAGGAGGTGAGGGGTGTGAGGAGCGAGGCAGCGGGTGGCCAGGGAGGTTTTCCTGTCAAGACCCTGGGGCTTGATGGCCTGTGGGCAGACCGGGGGCGGCATTCCCAGGCCCCCCAAGGGACTGTGCCGTCTCAGAACACTTCCCTTTGTTGCCTGTGGAGTTTGTCTGGGCAGCCGTGTGCTTTCTGTAACCCTTCTCTTGGGCAGGGCCTGGTTTCTGTTGTAAGTCTCTCAAACATTTGTAAAGTATCTAACAACAGGAAGTCACTCTCTTTGCCTTTGTGGACGACGGACCAATATAAACGTTTACGTCAGTCTGGGGAGTAGCCAAGTAGCGTAAGATTCTGAACATCCCAGGCTACTTGCCAAAAGCGGGTTAAGACAAAGGACGAGGAGGCAGAGCACCAGGGAAGGGCTCGCCCTGGGGCATCAGGAGCAGACTTCCCAGAACCAGCCAGGCCAGCACCGCCCCTCACGCACTGTGGACCCACCCGTGCTCTGGTCCGGGCTGGAGGCCTGCGGAATGGCCGCGCCCACTGGGTGGGGTAGCAGGGAAGACTAGACTGAATGCCAGCAGGTATAAAGTGACACCTGCCAACTTACAGTCTCACTTCCTCCCAGGGACCAAAGGCACAGTGCCGGGAGCCAGCTTATACGGCTGCATAAGACGTACCATGAGGGCGTGGGGCCACCGGCCAGCACACCGGACTGAGGCCATGCGGGCTTCCAAGGACACGGGAGCCCTGGGTACACGGGACACGTATAGAGCGTGTGACCCAAGGACACAGACCCCGAGGACAGCCCAGGGCACCATCGTGACACACTGTGGCCCAGGTGCCCACAGGGCCCTGCTCCCGAGCACAGACAATGGAACAATGATTCTGGGCCACGTCTCCCCGCGCTGCCCCCATTGACAATGCACCGTCCTGTTGTTCACTTAGAAGCTACAATTCACATAAAGGCGATTAAAGTATTATATCAGAGGAAAAGCAAGCACTATGTAACATCCCCCTCCTCCCCCTCCTCCCCCTCCTCCGTTCTCTTCTGGCCCGGCGGCCTTGGGCGAGCGCTGGGCCCACTGTCCAGGGGTCTGGGTGTTTGTCACAACTGTGGGTCCTCAGACACGTCACCTCCCACTCCAGGCCCCTGTTGTGTTTGTCTGGGCAGCCCTGTGCTTTCTGTAAACCTTCTCTTGGGCAGGGTCTGGTTTTTGCTGTAGCATTTGTAGGTTCTTCGAATGTATGAAGAACCTTAACGATGTAGGTTCTTGTTCTTCTCCGTTAAGTGAGAGAGCTGACTGGGTCTTCAGCCTGAAAGCCAATGGCTTTGATTTTGGGTCCCATCGTCTCTCGGCCTCCGGGCTAAGAGCAAATGTGACCTTTGGTCCTGGGCCGTGTCTTGCACCAAGAAGCCTCTTGCATTTCCTTGAATCATGCCTGTCCTCCAATCTTGCTTGGACACAGGACTCAGGGATTCTGGAACTGAAGGAGCCTCGAAGACCTTAACCCTGACAGCTGAAGGCCAAGATGCAGGGGTAGAGGGGGAGGTGCCGGAGGAAGAGGGGTCCTCCCAGACAACCAACCAGACAACCAACCAGAGAGACCCGCTGTGAGCGGAGCTCCGGGCAGGAGCAGGGAGGCATCCAGGGGCCCCACCCCTGTTCCAGGTACCGTCACTGTCAAGACCCCTTTCCCGCTGTAAAGAGGGGGCAGGCTGGGAAGATGTGGGCATACTCGGCAGAAGGCCAGGAGCAGACAGGGCGATGAGGGAGAAGAACCAGCAGGGGGGACCCAACATGGCGAGTGCCGTCAGACACGGGAGTGGGATGCGAGGACAGGGCTGGGGGCTCGGAGCAGAGAGGGCGCAGGAAGAAGGCTGAAGCGAGGCTAATGGGGACCCAGGACCTCGCAGCCTGGGGACGCCCAGGTCCCCTCGGACAGACAGCAGGACATCAGCATTGCCTGCCGCGCCTCCGCTTTCGTGCGCGCGGGGGGGCGGCGCTGTGCTGGGGGAGGTCCCCGTGTGCGCTGCGGGCAGAGGCGACTGGGAGCAGCTCTCGGGCCGGGAGCCGGCCCTCAGGGCGCTGACCGCACACGGTCCCTTTGTCCGACAGTCGCTGCGCATCCACCGCGTGCCAGGCTGACAGCCTATCGATTGTCACACCCTGCGCCCATAGCAGCGTGCGTGCACGGCGAGAATGAGCACCTGCCTATCGACTGACTGCGTGCATCCTTCTTGTTTATGGGGCCTCAGTAGGATTCCCGGGAACCCCGGACATGCGCAGCTCCTCCCCTTTCCCGAGCCCAGGATCGATGGTGTCGTTAAGAGCAGTGGGGCATTTCCCTGCCCGTTCCCTGAGCGATCTGCTTCTCTCTCTCCAGGTGCTCTCCGTGCATGCCCAGACCCTCTGCCGAGGGGGAACCGGTCACAAGCGGGAGCCCAGGACGTGGCGGCGAGCCGAGCGCCATGGAGAAGCTCAGCTCCTTCTTCCGTGACGTCTGGGACACCGTCCTGACCAAGCACCGGGAGGGTCTCTTCAACAGTGTCTGCCTGGGCGTGGTGCTGGCGCTGCCGCTGCTGCTGCTCCTCGCCCTGGTCTTCGTCTGCTGCCACTGCTGCTGGAGCCGGCCGGGCACGGGCCGGCAGCCGGAGCGCGGCCCGGGGAAGAGGAGGAGGAGGAGGAGGAGGAGGAAGGGCGAGGAAGACCTGTGGATCTCCGCCCAGCCCAAGCTCCTGCAGATGGAGAAGAGGCCGTCGCTGCCGGTCTAGCCGGGCGGGCAGCAGAGGGTCCGCCTTCCAACGCACACGGGGCCTGGAGACCACACGCGTGTCCACAGAGGAACTTCTCAGCCAAGGAGCAGCCTCGGACTGAGGGTCCCGGGAGGGCACCCCCAGGGAGCACGGGGACAACGCGTGGGCACTGGCTGGGCAGCTGTGTGTCCAATAGCAACGCTCTTGGCTCCAGATGCAGACGTGCCACCCGCCTGCTTCCGGCACAGTCCTTACCCAAAAGCACAAGGAACACGTATCCGTGACCATCCGGGCTCACCGTGCACACCACACACACACACACACGCAGCACGTATCTGCTCTTGCAAGAACATCTCGCAGGAGGGCCTGGCCAGGTTCGGGCGCAGGTGCACAATTGCATGGCCGGGCCGGGTTATGCATTCCATCCCCATTCCCTATGCCCCTCAGGTTACAGGCGTGAGCTTTTCCTGCTCCGACCCCTGCAAGCCCTTTTGCTGGAAAGGCTCATCTTTGGACTTTTCAGCACCCGGTACAGTGCCTTTCTCTGTGTATCAATGCAGACCCTCCAGTTCCCATGCTCCTGACCTCGCTCCAAGGGGGCAGGTTCAAAGTGCAATGGATCCGAATTCATCGGAAGCTAAGGTCTCGCAGGGTCCTCACGTCCCCTGGTCGGCGGTGAATGTGGCCCAAGACCCCTGGCTGAGACGCACCGCACAGAGCCCGTCGCTCCTCCTCCGCACAGGATGCAACTCTGGCCGGGCTCCTGGAGAGCGATGGGCGCCAGGTAACAGGCTGCTCCGCCCACTCCACCGGGTGCGCCGTGACCTGTGCAGCGCGGAGGTGGGAGGAGATGCCCCCTGAGCTGGGCATCCCCGGAGCCAGAGGCTCTCGGCGGCAAGGAAGGAAGCCTTTGCCCGCACAGCCTCGCAGAAGGCACATTGGAAGCAGCTGCAGGTGGGAGGTGGGAGATGCGGACTGAAGTGAAAGGATGAAGCTAGAGAGAGGTTTATTCATATTTATCTTGAGGCTCAGGCAAGTGCCTTGCGCACAGTGGGTACTCATAACCGTCCCTGACGCTGCTGGGTCTGTGATGGCGGCAGGTGAGCTGTGATACCTCGCCAGTTCCCCCTGGTGGCCTTCTGGGCTGCGAGGGTGGAGGTGGGTGCCGAGTTCTGCAGAGCCAGGGGGAGGGCTGGCACCTGGGGCCCCGAGGTCAGTGAGGATGTGTAGACCAGGTCCACGGAGAGCTGAGGGCTGTCTCCCCACCAGGCTGAGGCTGGGGGCCAAGGTAGTCCGCTTGTCTGATGAGCTGGCTAGTATTTGGATTGGATCGCGACCATATTGCGATGGTGGGTAATTCCTGGGAGCAGGCTATGCTGCCAAATTCATTTGCAGCCCTCGGAGGCTGTTCCAAATGGTGTGCAATTGCCATTTAATTAACAATATAGCTAAACTATGGTACTTACGGTAGCAGAAACGAAACCCTGTGAGATTGCGCTAAGGGGAAAATGTGCTCCATCTACTACCCCTAGGTGTGCTCCAGGCCTGTGCAGTGCCGACCAGGTCTCCTCACAGTGACCCGGGACGCTGAGTTCAGTAGCGTACACTGTCATCCCTTCCCCCTACGAGGCCCCAAGTCTCCCAGGCACCCAGGCTCTGGCTCCTAAACCCCCGTGGGCAGAGAAGCTACACCCTGACTCCCTGCCCCCGTGTCGCAGGGAGAGTTTGTCTCAGGGAGAGCGTGTCACAGAGCAGCCGAGTATCCTGGGACATCACAGGACAGCTAGTCATCTTCCCCACTCCCCCCCCCCCCCCCCCCCGCAATCTACTGCTGCCCAGGACGAGGCCCTTCCCGTCTGCACTCGCAGTCCCAAATGGATGAGTTGGGCAGACGTGGGGGCTGGCGGCTGAGGCTGGTGTTAGATATGATCCAAGAAAGATCACCAGGAACATGGTTGCCGTGGCAACTGGCTGCTCATTTGAATTAAGAGAGCAGTGTGTCACCTCCACGACAGGCCTCCATCCCGGGTGCAGGCCCTGCTGTCTCCTAACCTACTGCACCTGCTCCAGCTCCACCACGAAGCACCAGCACGCACACCTCAGCTGCTTCCATGGCCTCGGACCCAGGACACCCAAGCCCTGAGCAAGGCCCCTCATTTCCCCACTCAGCCTCCCCGGGGCCTCCCTGGGGTCCTGAGATCAGAGCCCGGGCAGGGGAGGCCTCACATGCCTGTTGAGTAAAGGGGCATGAACGGAGCCCAAGCACCATTTCCCTCTCCCTTCTCCCTTCTCCCTTGTTTTCTCCTCCATCCCCTCTTGTCCTGGCTCCATCCCTTCCTTCATCTCCATTTTCACTTCTTTCCTTCCCAGCCTCTGTCCCAGACCTGCCTCTGGCAACGAGGATGCCTCAGAGGGGAGCCTGCCTGGCCCATCTGGGGGGTTAAGCTAATGAAGGACAAGAGGGTAGTAAGGAGGGGGCTTCCTCCGGCACAGGCCTGGGGAGTCCCTAGGACGTGTACCCAGCTCCAGGCAGCCCGGCCCCTGTCAGAGCAGCCCTCCCTGCTGCTGCTGCTCCCGGATTCGCGCTCTGGTTTCTTGGGGGGAGGAGGGTATGGAGAAAGGGCAGTCACCCTTTCAAGAAGGATATAAGTGGCCCAGATTGTACGGTATTCGTCAGTATTCTTTTTTTCTGAAAAAATTCAAACACATCAACAGAAAAACTGATTTAAATAAAATACTTAAAAAAATAAAAGCCCCGCCTGGCCTCCTTCCTTGCTGGAGCCAGACGGTTCCTTTCCTGACATTTGATAGGACCTCGCCCAGACGTCACTCAATGATGGATGGAATGACGGATGCAGGGACTCCCTCTGGACACTGTCCCTCCCCCTCAGCCCCGCCCTGGCAGAGCCCTAGGGCACGGCCTGTGGCCTGCAGAGCAGCTGCCTGGGGTCCAGGCGTCAGAGGCACCTGGGCAGCATCTAGGGAGGGCTCCCTACAGGAGGCCGGGCAATGTCTTCCTCAAGGAAAAGGGAAAACAGCCCAAACTGCATAAGACTCATGAGTCCACTCGGGTCCTGGGAAGGGGAGAAATTAAAATCCTCTAGAGAGAGACGTATATGCACATATAAGTCTCTCTCCCGGTTGGCCATAGCTTGGCCGCCTATGAAATGCAGTGGCTTAGGTGCTCCTGACCCCTCCCTGGTGATGCCAAGCTGGTCATCACACCGGCTAGCACAGGCTGTGCACCAGGGCCAGGGACGATGAGCTTGTCCCTCATCTACGCTGCCCACCAGTGCATCATCCGCATCCAGCTCTCAGTGACGCTATGGCAGTGAAGGTGCAGGCACCGAGTACACCAGCCAGGCTCCCATCACTCAGCAGCCACGTGTTGCCACTGGCTACCACCCTGGAGAGCAGGGTCCAGAAGCTCATGGGGGTCGGGGTCAACATACTGGCCATCAGCAAGGGCTGAGGAAGGAGGGCCCCTGCCTGCCCCCCGTGGAAGGGGAGTGTCTGGAGTCCTGGTGGGTTCCTGCCCCTGCCCATCCCACAGGTTCTGGGACTTCCCTATTGCCCCCTCCCACACCCTCCCAGCTGCCGACACCGAGGGGAGGCCATCAGCTCCACCTGCCCAGCCTTGGCCCTGACCTTGGGGGGGATATGGGTTTGGACAATGTCACAATTCTCAACTCACGGGAACCTTCCTCTGTGCAGGCTCCTGGACCTTTGACCCCAGTATTCCTACCAAATTTAAAGTCGCAGATTACAAGACTGAAATAAAGAGCCACTTCAACACAGCCTTTGGTCTCTGTCTTAGGTTCAAAGAGATGTTTTCAAATACCTAAGCCACGTCACTCAGGGTGGCCATGTTTATTCCATGAGCATTTTTGACATTTTTTACAGGTGCCGGGCACCTCAGATCACCACTGTTGGTTAGCTGTTGTCATTTTTTTATTTGCCAATCTACAGGGAAAAGGTCAGTGCTCCTGACTAGTCAGGTATTGCATGTGTTTAAAATCGTTGCAGCACACCAGTTGAAAATCACCGCTCTGAGTAAATGCTAGTGGTCTCTGAATTACGTGTGATTATCTAGATCAGTGGTTGGCAAACTCATTAGTCAACAGAGCCAAATATCAACAGTACAACGATTGAAATTTCTTTTGAGGGCCAACTTTTTTAAACTTGAACTTCTTCTAACACCACTTCTTCAAAAATAGCCTTGCCCAGGCCGTGGTATTTTGTGGAAGAGCCGCACTCAAGGGGCCAAAGAGCCGCATGTGGCTTGTGAACCACAGTTTGCCGACCACAGATCGAGGTATTCAGAAAACAAACCAATGCTACGGTCAGAGATGTTTGCAGAACACTGCGTACTGCGCTGTCCCGCTGCTTGAGGCCCACAACACGTGGCCCACACTCGGGTGTGACAGGCGCTGTAATAGACACAGGTGCCTCTGTGCACTCCATCTTCCCAAGGATGGGAGCGTGAAACCCCTTTCAGCACACCTGGAGGAGCAGGGGTTCCAAGGAACCCTGTTTGGGAAGGGCTGCCCTGGCCGGCATCCCCCAGGTCTTCTCTGTTCCTGTCTTCCATTGCTTACAGTTCAATCCCTGCATTCCCCAAGGAAACCTGTTCCGAAATGCACAGATTCTGCTTCACCTTTCCCACCTCCGTTTCTCACGCTGCTCTTTCTCTGTCTTCCGTTAGTGAACCACAGAGATCCCATTGGTGGCTACTCATGGCCCGGAGACTCAGGGCTGGCTAGAGACACCCCATCGAGGAAAACCCAAACGTTCTGAATGAAGTTACGGAGACGGAAGACCCGGGCTCTCTCCCACCTGTTGTATAACACACAGAGCACCCCATCTGATCCCTGCAGGGACCCCTGCAGGGTGTAGACCAGGGGTGGTGCCGTTTTACCAATCAAGACACAGGCCCAGAGGAGGTACGCAGCTCCCACACCTGGACAGAACAGAGCCGCGAACCCTCCCCGGGGCCCTGCCACGCACTGGCCTGGGCT